AATCAAACTGTATAGCGACAAATTATCCACAGTTTTTTGAGAGATCAGATAATAGCATATTCTGCGTTTAATGACATCAGTGTACATCCTAAAATGAAAACGAATTGATAATTTAAAGAAAGTGTTGTAAACTGATGACATTGTCTTATGTTATTGGAGATCTTGGATATTACTTAAAGTTGCATCAATTCGTATTTGCCTCATGGCACTAACAAGGTAACATTTTATGTTTTTCAGTAGATAAGCAGAAGCCTTGAGGATCTGAAAAAAACTTTAAAGGAGTTCGTCATACCAGAGGACTGCTAACTGTATACAGCAAAGTTCTGCGACATTAGTTCTTTATTCTGTAAACAGCTAGAATGATAGATCACTTTCTTTAAATTTATTTTTTAATTAAAGTGACTGAAAGTTTAATGAGAACTGTCAACAAAAAATTGTAATTAAAATTCGGGTTGGTGTAAGCAAATAGACATAAAAAACAGACTGAATTACTTTGTTTGCGTTGGTTGGCTAGCTGACTGATTGGCGGACACTGCTGGAAATGTTTGATTAACCGCAGACTATTTCACCAATAGGAAATCAACAGTATTTAGTTTCAGTTTAAAAAGGTGATAAATGGGCAACAGTCCTCTTACCTCTACAATACCAAATATAATGTTTCGTAATAGCATAGCACATAACTCATGAAATATAAAATTAAACAAACCAGCAGTGCGAAAAGATATATACGAGACAAAATATAACATGACTTTCTACTAGGATTGTCTGAAATCATCACTGACAGGTAAAATTTACGTACGAAACCTGAATACATTTCACAATGCGGGTTACGATAAATATTCTAGGCTGGCTGCAGAAAGATTTTTGTAAACGTAACGACAAAAATCAAGAAAAACTCTATATTACAAAACTGTTTTTCCAGACTAATTAATCTGAAATTGACTATAAACTGCATTGTTTGTGAGATTCTTTGCTGTTTTAATTCCTTCTATGCTAATTCCGTTTTACAAAGAAACTTTCTTTCGGCATTTTTCCACGCAAATGTATAATTTATGCTGTTGGAATTATTTACTATGACACGAGAGCAAATTAAATTAGAGCCCACATTTCATATAAGCCATCATTTAGAACAATCAATACTTCAGTCAGGACTTTAGTTCATATCTAAATTGCATCATATTTAAGGAAACATTAAACCTCATGAAAGGATTTTCTGAACTTTCTGGACTCGTACCACTTTATTTTTGTACTGGTGAATTTTGTTTGTTATTTATATGGTTGTAAAACTTGGTTTTTATTACTCAGGAAACAACATACCTACAGAGTGTTTAGGAAGAATATTTCAATGTTATAAACAGGAAGAAATAGATGAATAGATTAAATTACATAATCATGAGCTTGATGACAAACAGCTACTCTTCAAATCAAGGAGGAAAGAGACGGGCGGAATATGTAGCGCGGGGTGAGAAAGGCGTCGTTTTATAAGATATTACTCGAAAAAAACCTAAATTAAGATCTAGACGAAGATAGATGGATAATATAAAGCCAGTTCTTTAATAGTGTATGAGGGTGTGAAATAGCTTCCGTGCAGTCTTTTCTTCCGTAAAAGACGCAGAATTCCCTGATCAGCTGAGCGACTACCAGTTTCTCAAACGGTCACTGTTCCATGGAGTTCTTAGTACATTCTTAAATGCACAATAATAAGTGGAAAATTAGTTTAAAATTAATACACTTCTATGAGATATACACAAGTGTTTGGTTCAAGATGATCCTGTTCTGAGAAATCGTTCTAAAGCGTAGGATAAACTGGTGGACCTTAATGCAGCTCTTCATCTCGAATCTTGTTTTGAAAGAAGAATCAGACGAAGGAGATAACAAACAGTGTTGCGTGGATTTATGGCTGGATCACTGTAACATGCAGTCTGCGAAGTGCATTCTAAGCCGCGCGGGTGGCGCCAACTCAGAGGGGAGTATGAACAGTAGAGAGGTCGCAAGATTCCTGGGGGCAAGCGATTCCAACGATTTATTGTAGACTTGGTTAAAAGTGAATGTACTTCAATGAATCTATATTGCGGCGTTTTTTCGAGCTACTGAATGATTTTAAAATATGTTCGACTAAAATCAACGAGAAACAGGCACGCCTCACATAGAGATTATAACGTTGTGTTTGAAGTAAATCTATTTATTTATTTATTTACTTGCGATTTAACGACACTGTCAGTAGCTCATAGCGTCGAATGATACAATGAATAATAAATTGGAAAGGATACGGAAGGAAGCGATCGTGGTCTGTAAAGTACTTAACAAGCATTTGACAGGAAAACCACACAAAATGTGTCAGGACAGGAGTCTCCGAACCAAAACTTAAAGCTGAAACCTCCCAAACACATAATAGGATTGCTAATCATTTTCCCTCGACTTTCGATATGTTGAAATAAAGAAATTATTTTAAATATTATACCACACCTACCATACTGAATCTCTCGACTATTCGAGTCCCAAAAATTTCAACTGAATTTATAGAACAGATGAAAGCATACTTAAAGTTTCTTAGCTAGCAACAGTCTGTCGGCACTTATTGTGAGGAGCTACAGAAAAAGAGCCACCTGCAGAGGAGAGCAACTTTTGAAATTGTTTTCAGGTGCCTGCACAACAGGAAGCCCGAGCAACAAACAAATTAAACAGCAACAACGATACTCCAGCTTCAGCACTCAACGTCAACCGGACCACAAAGAAAACACTTCTATGATATAAGTAACTTTAAGTATTTTGCCAATTACAGCACGTCATAGACATAACTGGTACAGACCGCAAAGAAACTGCACAAAAGATGCAATAAACAACCAACATCGATTACAGAGTTGGTCATGCATAAAATAAAAATTTAGACCCCAGGCGTTTCATCTATATTTAAGCAGAGACGGGATACAGGACGACGCAATTTTACCTTTTGTGAAAGAAAAGTTGAAAAACATGCACGGGACTTGCAAATAAGTTTAAACGTCGCATGCGTGTTTAATTAAGAGCGCTCCAACATTTAACTGTCATGTTAAGAATTGTTACTTCCGCGTATTTAAATATTGATTCGGATCAGAATCCTGCAAATTATGGATTCATTTAGAAGTTTTGATTATTATCAAAAATCAGTTACATCGTTATTGTGCATGTGAAATTTCTTGAGAACTGTTACAGTAGCGTGTGAGAGATGGCAAAAAATACAGAAAGAAAATATCATTTTAGAAAATGTACAGACGTGGAATGTGGCTTAGAGACAAGATTGCGTGTCTATCCTAGTTGACTGCACTATCGTTACAATTATGGAGACTCAAGGAAGGTCAGATTCCACGGTGAAATTTCCTCTTTGCCACGAGATGCGAGACCTGGTGGACGAAATTCTCCACGTCCCCTGGGACGTCAGAGACACGTCTTCTTCGTCCTCAGGCTCCTTAAGTCCTAGGGCTCCATTGGCGGACATATCATCGGAGCTACAATATTTTAATATTCTGGAAAAAGAAGATTTGTTCCAGACGGCGTCGAAATGTGTAAAAACAGATGGAAATATTAAGAAAATCGCGGAATTAGAGACGGAGAAATATAAGGACGCATTTAGAAATAACTCAGAGAAGGTTATAATCGGTTATGGCCCTGGAATAGAAGAAAATAGGCCTAAATGGAACGTACACAACGAAAACACAGAGAAGATTGTTGTGAATACAGAATTAGAGGCGCAAGAATACATGTGGTCAGTTACAAACAATGAATCTGGCACGGATGAGGGAATTTGTAGATTCGAAAGAGAGAAATGTGAAAGTAAACTGGACAACAATCATAAGAAGATTGTGATGATATCAGAAGCAGGAGAAGAAGAATGTCAGGAACCAAGTAAATTGCGCGCTTTAGATCATTCTACGGCGGTCTTAGGAGTTGGAAGAGAAGACTGGGAAGGAAGAATGCAAGGAGACAATAAAGAAATGGACGTTACATTTTCAGAAACAGATCAAAGAGAGTATGAAAGAACGACTGTAAGTGGAAACATGGAGAATATCGAACTTGTATCGGGAGTAGTGACAGGAGGGCCAGTGCGTTGTGTAACTGAAGAAGGAGCGGAAGACAATGCGGAGGATACAGAGTATCCAGCCAGCGTGTCCAGAACTGGAAGCCCACATAGGAGGACAATAGCTGCTGGAGATAGGGGTGCTGTCCCACAATGCGTGGGAACCCTTGGCTTCTTCCACATGCAACCGGAAACGGAACAGGTGGTGTGGGGGTCAAGACGAGCATCCGACCGTGACCCTAGCATTAGCGCGCCAGAAATTTATCATCGTGCAGATATCAGTGCTGCTCATAGCTGTGGGAATGTTGAACAAGCCATTATATCAAGTGTTATTAATGCAGTACGCAAATATATGGACACTGAAAACATATACAGAAATATAAGTCCGGTGTCACTAAACAACGCAAACGTTAAACAGTACCGTGTGCCACCAGATATGATTGATGTAGAGATAAAAACAAACGTTGAAGATGAAAACGAACAAATTGTTGCTGTGGTCACTGGAATATCTTCTATTGTTGACCAGCTCTATACGAATCCGACTCTCAATGTTGCTTCACCAGAAGACAGTACAAGTAATGAATATTATGTCATTAGTGATGAAAACGAATTAATTAGCGCTATAAACGGAAATTCAACAATTACGGTCGGATTGAATGTGGCAAGTGAACAACCAACCGTCAGTGTTGGCGATGTGAGAGTGGACATACATATTGTTGTAGGGGACAGAATGATATCGCCCATAACAGAACCCCCGTACAATGAAGGGATAAGCGATGAGGCGTTTAGTGGTGCCGATTGTATTAATGTTTCAGTTAAAGACGCTGTAGACGTTACAGAAGATCTGTCTAAAACAGAAAATGTTCATTTTGGAGACGAAATAGTTAGTGTGAGCGATGACATTTTGATAAGAACACGCAGTGCTGAAAAATATGTACAGACAGACAGTGTTAGTAATTCCGACAATGAATCGGTTAGTGACGAGTCTTGTGCATTAAAGAAAATACCTTTTGTCAGTATTGATAAATTTGTTCAAACTGACTACTTAAGCCTGTCACCGTGTGAACAGAAAGTTGGTGTCTATAAAACCGATACTTCAGTTAGTTTATGTGATGTTAACATCATAGGGACACATATTGTTGACAAAGACTGTAACCAAACAGATGTTCGTAGTGTTTTGCCGTTTTCTGGAACTAATGACTTGGTTGAAGTTTTAGAACACGCTCAGTCGTTTAGTGTCAATGATTACTCTGATGAGAGAGAAGAAATAACAGGTATTAGTAACAATTCAGAACCAAGTAGCACGAATTCTAGTGCCAGAAACCAGTTCCCCCGGGTAGTATCTTCGTTGGTTAGTGCTGACGAAGCGACGGTGACGCAAACGGACGGTGTTAGTGTTAGTGCTGAGAACTTAAACGGCACGGAACACTTAAGTGGTCTCAGAATGAACTATGCCGACTCGATTAACGTTGAAAGTGATGGATGCAGGACAGCAAGTGCTGGCGAGGAGGTCCAGGAACTGACTGAGGGCCTGTCTTGCACCTTGCAGGTGCTCACTTACCGTGACCGACTGTTTCCACCATTGTGCTCGTCCTGCCTTCTCCCACAGTCTGTGGCTAGAGTTCGCCAGGGCGGCACACGGGTTCACAACTCGGCTCAGATTAAAAGTGATTCAGCTGGTGATCATGTGACATTCCTGGGACACGGTGAAGATAACCTATTGAACGTATGTGATAATGTCTTAGAACCTAAATACAGTGTCGATCGTGGACTCGACAAATTGCCTATATACCAATATCGAGATATAGTTCAAAGGCCTGTAAAATATTATCATCGACAGCTTCCGAACGACACCGAATCGGGTTCATGCAGTCTGACCGCTGCTCAGAGTAACACAGTACCTGAAGACATAACCTCACTTCTGTGTCAGCCTCTATACGGCGATTATAACGTGAGAAATGGAAGTGGTGCCACATGGTACACGGACGTTTCGTCAAGAAGACCACTGGATCTGACATCCAGCAATGATAATCTAGGGGTGCCACATAGATGTCGACAAGGCGAAGAAATGGGAAGCCATTACTCCACCCAAGAGTCCGAGGAGAGTGAGACCGACCGGTGTCATACTGACAGCGTTGGCGGTGAAGAAGAAGGGACGAACACTGATGGAGAGAACGCAGTTTTAGAGGTCACGAAAGAGGGTGCAGTTACAATTATTACAAACATAACGGATGCAGATTCAAAAGATGTCAGTTTAAGTACTAAAAGTGATTGTGCGACCATAAATACTGACCTGGGCCTAATTAATATGGGAATGAGTAATACTGGAATGCGTTTAAACAATTATGATTCATCAATGACTACAGAAGCAATGAATACTTATCTTACAGATGTCGCGTTAAACACAGCCACGATAAATAATGATTTAAAATGTTACCGGTTAAATTCTACCGATGAAGCAGCAAATGGTATAGACGGAACTAATACTGGTCAGAGAAATGTACCAAGCGCAACTTGTGACACTAATGAAACGTCGGATGTCGAAAACAAAAACGTCGAGTTAAGTTCAACGGCAAGTGGTGCAGCCACGTCTAAGCCTATTGTTCCGACTACAATAGAACAGCTGATAGGCGCCACTCGTAGCTACAACAGAAGGAACATCAGCTTCCCTTTCATTGACGAAAATGAGGACAACGCTGCTAACGAAGACACTGCGGTTGCCATGACAACGCGAGACAACATCCGTCTGGATATTGACAGGTGCGTGGCAAGTTTCCAGCGCGATCATATGCTGGATACGCTTAGTGCCTCAGGGGGCCGTGGAATCCGCTACGAATCAGCTCCTGAGGAAAATGACCTGTCGAAAAGCAAAGATATGGGTCACATAGGAGCCGTGACGGTGCCTCACTCTGATAAGGAGACACAGACTGCTGTGGATTTATCGGCAATCATCACATCAAAGGAGGCCATGAGAAATGCAGTGGATAAGGAGACTCAGACGAAAGCGGTGAATAAAGACATCGATGTTACAGAGGCCACGCCGACAAAGCAAACAGAGTGTACAGAGGGGCACGGCGCATCTGAGAAGGCAACAACAGAGATGGCCACAGAGACCAAGCAAAGAATCGAGGAAGAGGGAACAAAGCTGGATATGTGCGTTAGGCACCCGTGTGCCGCCCCCAGATCGACGGCGTCGCCAGTATCGACCGCGGATGAACGGCGCACGAGCAGTGGCGACATCGGAAGTGAAGCGGCGCATGACGGTACTATCTGCGCCGCAGCTGACAGTTCGGAGCAGTACGCCCCGGAGAGTGGACGTGCAGAACCGAGTAGAAACGCAGTCCCTAGGGACCAGGCACCAGTCCACCGTGCGAGTGATGCTGCAGTCCCTAGGGACACAGTGAGTGCAGTGGGCAACAGGTGTTGTGATGCCATGCGGCAGAAGAACAAGACCAACGACAACGACGCAGCCCCCGCAGACAAACCCGTCATTATCGCCAATGGCGGAACCAGCACGGAGGCGGCGTCGGGGGCGGCGAACGACTGCAATGGACACGTGAACAATCACCATCACCACTCGACGGCCAGGTCGATCTTAAAATCGGTACTCAAGAGGACAGGCAATGGGGGACACCACAAGAAGACCCCGGGTAGTAAAGCTGCTCCCGTGCCCGTCCCGCCTCCCCCACCTCTACAGCAGCCTCCGCCCCCACAGAATCAGCCTGCCCCCAAGAAGAAGCACCGCGTTCAGTTCGACGAGTCGAAGAACAAGTTCTTTGACGCAGACTATGTAATCCTGATACGAGAGGAGGACGATGAGGAGGAAGAGGAGGAGGATGAGGAGGGCGAAGAGGAGGAGATGGAGGACGAGGAGGAGGTCTGCACGTGTGGCGCCTCTGCCGAGGTGGGACGGCTCCTGCCCCCCATCGTGGGGATGGTAAAGACGCCTCCCCCAGCTGGCTGCGGGCGCCCCATCCAGCCCCCCGGAGGCGCAGTGCAGGTGTTACTCAGGACCCCAGGTACATGCTCACATGTGTGAAACACGTATCATTACCACAGATAAGCCAAATATTTGCAGTAATATTTTGTAGCTCGAAGACGAAAATACTTGTAAAGTCTGACAGAACTGCGTCATAACTGCGAAACGCTCTGTGTGATTCAGCGTAATATAACGATTATTTACACTGATTTTTATCTGTCGCTAATGAAAATTCACGTGAAAGTTAATTTTCACATCCACTTTCTTGCTTTATGTTTGCAGTAGGTCAGTATATACCAATCGCACAAATTCCGCAATCAAATGTCAACACTTGGTAGTTTCTTTTCTGTCTGCCATTCCCCATGAAAAAACTCCGCTCTAAATGTACGCATTCTGGGATGCCTCAACATCACTTTCAAATGGTATATTTCGCTATCACAACGGTGTGGACAAAATTTCTCTACCGTTTACAGAAACAAAGCAGTTGAGGTCAGATTTCAAATTTTCACGGCGATGAGTATGAAGACGCCTGTTTTCTGGAATGTTGCACCGTGCAGTCTGGTAGAAACTGGTCTACCTTTCAGAGGTGCTTGCTGCCTCAATTATTTGGACCATAATGATGGAGGTAGCAAGCACCTCTGAAATGTAGATCAGTTTCTAACAGTCTGCACGGCGCAACATTCCAGAAGAACTAAATGTACAGTTTTCGGTTTGATTTCAATTTGTGACCGTCGTGGATGGTCGACTTTAAAACCCATCAACGTAATATAAATGAAATTTTATCAGTTTGTCGCTTTTGAATCATCACTAAAATTTATCTATCGAGTTGAATATCGATCAAAATTGGATAGCACGGACTACCACTTTCCATTAAATCCTATCAGCAGACGTTACACAATAATAAATTCAAAATTTTATCAGTTACATGATTCTTTAACGTACTGTTTTCGAGATATTACTAAATTTATAATGCTACAATGTAGACATGCATGAGAAACACTTGTTATGGTGTTTGCTACACTTCGCTAACTGATGATCAGTTTGGCTTAAATATGAATAATGCCTAATGTGTGTTGCACGGTAATTTTGCACTTCCCTTACGTGTTATTGTTTTCGTTTTCTGCAGATAATTGCGCATAAATTGTCACAGCTGGAAAGCAGACCACCTGTCTCTACACCTTAACGGAGTGATTATAAAACTGTGGTTCGCGAAAACCTTGGGCAACACGAATTATTAGACAAGTAGGACTCTAGAAGCAAAGCGTAATGGCGGATGTTTTTGTAAAAATAATTATTTTAAGGCCAATTTAAAATTCGGGTATTGCTTCTGTAGTAAAGCGTTCGTGGAGTGATAAAGATTGTAATCACTGGCTTAAAGCCAGTTAGAGGTGTGTTATGTTCTGCAAGGAGCTTTAATTTATAAAATTTAATTAATTAGCTGCTTAATAATAATTCAATTCAATTCATTTATATAAGTGCTTGACAACAGCCAAAAAGGCCAATAACAACCAAGCACTAAAGCAGAGTACAGGATAAAATATAATAAGTAATTAATTTATTTAAATAATAATAAAAGTAAAACAAACAAACAAATGAAAGTTGATATAATTGCGTCATATTGTGAATTAAAATTAAAATTTAATTATTCGTGTTTTTTCCGTCTAATCACAATTGTATATAAATAAAATTATACATAAGATATTAAAATATCATTTACATATTTGGTACAACTTTTTACTACATGTTTCGGTTACATTGAACCATCTTCAGGTGTAAAGTTAAAAGTTAAAAATTATAATCTTATAAACTAAAACTTAATTACTGTTGTTGTGTAACTTCTGATGATTTGGAGGTAAACATCATCAGAAGTTACACAACAACAGTAATTAAGTTTTAGTTTATAAGATTATAATTTTTAACCTAGTTCAACAACAACAACAATAATAATACAATCTGTCCTACAAAAATGTCGTTATTCCCAAATTTAAAATGCATTCTCGTTTCTACATCTATTAAAGGAATAGAGTGTGATGTGCTATTAAAACTTCTATAAATGTGCGAAATAATAGTGACAGTGGACGCAAAACAACTCCGAGCTCGAGCTTCATCACAGTAAGATAGAAAGTTGAAAAGGGGAGTGGGACTTTCATCCACTGACTTGCATTAAACTGTATTTTGTGAACCAAAGGAACAATAACAACGCAGGCACGCGCTTTGTCTGTTGATTCTCCTCCGTCCTACGTGTTTGTAACGGCCAACGATGCGTCAACTGTAATGCCAAATTGTTTCGTGTCTGACATTTTAATGCATGTTAGGGCAATTCTTGAGAGCCTAGTCTTCACTGAATCAAGCAGAATGAGATGAGCGGGTCTTGTAGCACGATGTAGCACGTTGAGATGAGAAATCCATATATTTTAGTTGGAAAACCTAAAGACAAGTAGCAACTTTGGAGACCCAGGCATAGATGATAAGATCATATTTAAATGAATCTTAAAATAACAGTGGGCTCTTGTGAATACGATGATGAACGTTGCGGTTCCAGAAAAGCGGACAATTCTTGGCTAACTGTGCAACTGTTATTTTCTTCAGAAGGACTCTGCTCCATGGTGTTAGAGTAAGTTAGCCGGGCGATAAACCACTTTCTGACTTATGTTCTGAAGAACGAATAGGCCAATTTCTCGCCCCTCCACATAAACATTGGAGCTGGTGAGTTTTTAAACAGTCTCCCTCGTTAATCATTCTTAAGAATTCTACGATTTCTTATTCGACATTACGTAATCCCTTCAGTTCATAAAACGTTGTTAAATAACTAGGAAAACAATTTTCATAATGACTTGAACAAATACATTTCTCTACTGGTCTGTGACGAGTGATCACCTGTTGTTGTCCATTAATAAAGATTATTAGCTGCATGTGTCACGTTTTCACTTCTACTTTCTAGTGAAATATTCAGGGGCGTGAACAACGAATATTTGTATGTGAAAGGTGAACATTTTTAAACCAAAAATTATGCGTTGTTACACTGAACAGACATAATTACAGACGGTTCTCAGATACATCTTCCCGAGAGTGACTGCGCATGTTATAAGAGGGCTTTTAAAAAACATCAGAAAAACTAATGAGATCAAGGCGATAGTCACATGTGGGCCACACTTGTTAAATAAGAACTAGTAAATCACCCGTCAATAACGACGGGAAGATCTAAAGTACTTAACATATTTTTATTGAAAAGTCTGACAAGGTAGCACACAAAAATTGGTATCATTATTTCAATGACGTTTTAATGAAGTACAATCTCAAATACGATCTTATATCGAGGTTACAGTATCACACATATCATAAATATTATCCCACAACGCCCAAAATCCCTTACCAGCAAATTATCACCAACCAAGATAGCAACATTTGGTTTTTATAGAGATAGATGAAGTCCCTTAGAGAAGGGGTCCCCTCATTTGAGTTCAGTTGCATTAATAAGTTACCTCTTAAATATGTAGATATAAGGCCGTTTATTTCACTTGAGAAAGTTGATAACATGGCGTCTTACGGTGTTGTCGGTAAGAGTATCGACGCGACACTTGGCGTCCGTTTTCCATGTTTTCGGTGGCGTCAAGATGTACCAAATACAACGTATTGAGTTAGCGTCGTGACAATTTGTGTCGCAAAGCGCGGCGTCAGTTTTGCAGCGTCATTTTCAGTGACATCCTGAGGCTTACCTGCAAAATATGGCAGGATTTACTATCAGCTATGATGAATCTTTGGTTCAGATACCAGAGAATTAAGAACGGAGACAGTTGCCACTACCTGCTGTGACGGTTCTTATACGGCATCCTCTTGGCTCTGCTTAAAACTACGTAGTAAAATGAAACAGGGAGTGTCCAGGTATGTAGACATTTTCGATGTCATTTAAAGAAATTAATAATTAGTGCAGACAATAAAAATTAATAAAATGCAAAAGTATTGCTTTCAAATTCCAGAATACAAAATGTTGATAAAGCCAGTGCTATTTAGAGCTTCAGTACCATTGAAAAAATTTGGTATCCACAACTCTAGAAGTCATTATTAATTTCGAATACGTACCTCTAAATCCATATAATGTCGAGTGTTTTACAACACAATAAAAGAGGATTTGCATTTAAAAGTCTGAATATGACATTCACCTCTTCACGGGCGTCGTTTTCCTGACAGATATCTTTGCTTTACGTCGAAAGAGTTATTTTCGGATAGACTTTCACGCTTATAATTGCGTAGACCTGTGTTTTATTTTATTTTTCATATATATATCTGCTTTCTGGTTAACAAATGCTAGTTTACATTAATCACAAACATTTAAATTCAGACTAGTCATGATGAAAGAGGCTAAACTACGTTCTAATACGAAGATGGTTTTCATGTGGAATGTTGCGCCGTGTATTCCGATAGATACCGACCGAAGTTTCAGAGGAATTTAATGCCTCCAGTATTAGGGGGAAGGCAGTAAGCTCCTCTATCTTCCAGACTACACGGTTCAAGACAGCCATCATCATACTCGTCGTCGCCTTCAGAACCTGAAATCTTACCTGAACTCACATTATGTGTCTGCGTGTATACACGTACAAGTAGCCTGCGTTATTAAATAAAACTTCGAGCATGGGAGCATCCATCCATGCTTCGTAAAATCGAATTTTATTACATTTTTCAACAGCAGTTCATCATACTGCGCTACCTCACGTTTCGGTGTTCTCTGACACTACATGAAGCAGGATTCACACCGAAGAAACTAGCAACAGGCATCAAGCGATAGGCGGTACGTGATATATATCGCCTGTACGTTCACACGAAATCATCGAAATTGTCAGTTTGTGAAAATGTCGAATAACATTATCATTGTATTCCCATATGTTCTATAGTTTGTATGAATTTATTAATCCTTTACTCTTAAATTATGGCGTAAAGGCTGTTTCTTGTTGCTAGATTATTCGGTGTAAACGTTAACCAGTTTAACCCTTTAAAGCCCAATCGTAAGTAGGCCCATGTGTTGTTTACCTGCTTAACAATCACTAACTGCACATTTCGTATTTATGGGTCTTGTATGATCCTCAGTGTAAACAATGTTTTCTTAAACAACATTAACTAGTTTATCTTTGTAATGGAGACGCGTTGTTTTCTTTGAGGTACAGACCGAATTCGTAAGTATTATTTGGATGAGCTTCGGCTTCAAAGGGTTAATTAAGTAAGTTTTGCTCTCGCAAGATTTCTAAGCCTGAGTCAAGCAACAGACGCCCTGAGCTGGAAAATGCACGGTAACTGCAAGCCGCCGTGAACAGGATGCAGACCGTGAGAGGAATATCTCCGTAAAGCGAAAGTAGCCAAACTTTACGTACTGCTAATTCTGGGGCTTCACAAATATGCTCGCCCATTCGCCACGGACGAGTTAACAGAAACCAGTGGCAAGTTTAAAAATAATTGTATCATGCATACTTTAACCACTTGGGACACCTACGTGTAGGGGAGACCGGGGCACATTGCAACAAATGTAAGTTCTGTTTCTTTTCTCAGTAGAATTTAGTCATTATATTAAAATTCTCAATGAATATCAAACACATCCTATTAACCGTTCATTTTATTGCAATAATATTCAAGTCATAACATTACAAAAACATGATGTGACTGTCGTAGCCTATTTTAAGAAGAAGGTCGTTACCCTGTAAAAAGGGAGAAAGTCACTAAAGTAGCATTGTGGATAGAACTGAAAGTCAAGTCACAGGTGTTCTTATCTATATACCTCGATCGTCAGCTCGATATGACCTTTGTTGAGTCAATTGTTTAAACAAGTTCAGTCTGGAGATAACTTACACCGCACAGACAAACGATTTTCAATTGAATAACTGCACACAGCTCATTATGACATTTCGGTATTCAACAATAACAAGACACGTCCACTTCTGCACCCAGGGCGGCAAAGTGCTGAAAACAGGCACTGTGTGCGCTTGGCAGAAGCGTATTCTTACCCTCCTTCCCCACAGCACAGTTAAATTACGTTAGGTTGCGTGACCTCGTCGGCTGAGAAGTGACAATGGTGATGGTGTTTGCAGGAAACGTATCCAAGCGGGACGCTACGACCCTGGCCGGGGGTCCTGGGTTCGACCTCAACATTCCGGAGAACTGCACATTTGAGCCGCCCCTGGAGTTCATTGACCAGGTGACTCTGAGTCCCCCCGAGGGCTACAAGGACGTGGTGCGCCATCACAATCACCCTTCCGGTGAGTACGAAATGCCTGATGATGTAATTATTACCAGAAACGCCAGTTGTGTATTTTATGTACTTTAGGAGGGAGCATGAGTGCCACCAGGATTTTATCCGTGAGGGGGGAGACATAATATTTACTTACAAACTGACGTTTAAGCCCAAGTTGTTAAACGAATTTGTGTTAAGGATAGACAAACAGTTTTTCTTAATTATTTTAATTTGGTATTAATACTCGGTCTTTGTCTTTTTTCTTTTTAAACTCTTTTCAATTTGTTCTTTTAATCCACCAGCGCAGGAGGGGCGATGTCTGGCTTGTGCTCCCCTACCGACGAACACGAGAGAAATATCAATTTGCGTTATTTTGCTCCGTTATTTGTGCAGGTAACATTTTCTCCATACTAACCTCACGGTATGTTACAACTGTATAGCCGCACAAATTCGCCCGGACTACAGTATATAGAACTGATATTATGAGCCACTACTTCGCACCTATTTATTTGAAGTCAGCTGACAGGAAAACGAACTTCTATCCACTAACCGGGGTCTGTTTCGGTTGGGGCCCGATCAGTGTTAAAACACCAACTCCCCGCCCCCAGCATTCACGCGGTGTGACGAAGTCCCATTGTTTACACCCAGTGAACACCATCACAATGAAGCGCGGTCTCCAGAATTGCATGATGATTCCTTCTACAGATGTCAACGGATTTAGCGATGGGTCTCTGCAGTGATTTCTTCTGCTTCCTGACATTACGCCATTAAACTCACTGCGCAGTCGCAGACATGTAAATGACGTTCTTCATTAAGCCATTTTAATTAATTATAGAGTCGTATAATTTAATTTTTGTTTCAGCTCTTTGTACACTTGGTACAAGTTTAATAATTTGTTTCGGCTCTTTGACATCTGCAATAAGCAATAATATGTCGCTAATTGTTTTGGATCCCTAGGCAGCTTTTTATTTCAGCTCTTCTGTTTTGACTAATTGTACATCTGCAATAACAGTTTGTTTTTAGCTCTTTTTACAACTGCTACAATTGGCTGTTTCAAGTTTACCATAATAGGAACACACTCCAACATCTTGTTCTCTGCCCCTTAAGTTCATTCGTAGTAATAAACAAGCAAAAGAGTCGAGCTTTCTGACAACTTCGGCTGCCACAAATGTGCAGTTTAATTTCGAAAATGTCGACACTGTGGCGAAAGAATTCAACAACGAAACGTAGTTGGAATCCAGGAAACTGCACCCATAACTTAAAATAAAGACAGAACCCCAACACCATATGTGGCAGGACCTGATACCAGCAAAAGTTATTTGTGTTCAAAACAAAATTGGCGTATTCAATGCATACATTTTGTTTAAACATTTTTCGACATGATGAATGTTTAGCAAGATACGAACAAGAAACATAATTCTTGGTTGTGGGAAGTTTCATTCAATTCTTATTGAATACAAACGTCAATTAGAACTCATTCTACTCTACTTCGTCACCTAACTTCACTCGTATGTGAGTCTTCCAGTTTCCGACACCGCTGACTAAAAACTACGGATCAGATACGCAGGACTGGAAACTGAAACATAGAAAATGTTTTGAATGGACACGGTTAAGTCTTGCAAGTGTTTGGCCCGTACACCACACTGACCATTGCGGCATCTTACTCCATGTCTGTGACGTCATATCGCCAGACACCTGGGCCGTCGGTGATTCACTGCAGTCATTGACTCTTAGCCCTAGTTTTTTCTTCGTAATTTGCCTTTTCCGCCTGATGGCTTTTGCTGTCAGCGCCATCAGATAAGCCGAACTCTAAACTAACTCTACTGGAATAACGCATCCATTTATAGCATCCCTTTCTAACCCGCCTCAGATGTCATCGTCATTCACAAGTCATGAGGAAATGGAGTGTTCAAACGGAAGGCTCGTCGCTGCTAAAACAGCACACAACCTCTTCTGAGCCACCTCAGATTCGCACAACCGCATTCTCAGAACACTAATATTGATAGAATTATTCTGAATTTCTTCAACGGACTGTAATAATAAGGTTACCCAGAATATTTTCTGCAGTGTCTTTGGTGTCATCCCACTTGCCGATCATACGGACAGAACCATTGCCGCATTTCCAGTTCCTACGATAATGTGACTTTAGGGTCTTATCGGATAAGTGTACATATTTTTTATAATCGTCACAATTATTGTTCTGCCGACCGTCTGGTGGAAAAGAAAACAAATATTTTAACAATACATTGGACTGTAAAACTACATCAATTTTCCCGTTAGAAATAACTCGTAACTAGCATATTAATTGTATTTCGATACCGAACACACGTCAACGTAACTCTAATATTCAATTCGGTGTTGAATCTGTACTAACCTTTCAGAAAGAAAGCGAACCGCAAGTTGTAGAGATCTTTTAACGCAATTGGGTGGAATTCGTGACGAATTCTTTCGTTGTGGTTTGATTCAAAAAGCATACCATGATAACTCAACTATTCAGTGCAAAGCAGCAGTCTCTACTAGCTTCACAGCATAAGAGCGAACCTTAAAACTCACAAACCTCCCACCGCAGTTTGATAAAAGTCGCAGATTACTGTTTCGCTTCGTTTCGTTTCGAAATAAATGCACGGTCTGAAATACACCACTTGTGCATGCAAGTGAAGACATGATAGTGACTGACAGTAATTGTGGGTGGTGGGGAAAATACCCCCTGGAGTGTCGTGTTGTTGACCGCGAGGTTGTGCTTCACCCCTACGAAAACATTTACATTCCAGTACATCGGCCCCTCGATCGGTCTGACAGCCGACACTTCACACAGTGGATGAAAGTGCCCAAAAACCACGACTTTAAAGTCACTAAACCGAATGATGTAAGTTTACTTATGCAGACATCTTTCGTAATTTGACCTGTAATAAACAAATAACTGTGGTCTGTGGTCAATGATTTTAACAGCGATTTTGATCGGTCAGGGCTTTATAAGGCTAAACGTGGCCGACTAATTGCAAAATTTACTTTTATTATGAAACATTTATAACGGATCTCTCTAAGGTGAATATTTTGCGTATCTCAAGGGCCAAGAATACTTTATAGCATTACCAAGCATCTTGCTGTTTTCTTCACAACAAAATCGGCGCTGTTGCTACGCACTAACGTTTGTGGACCTAACACTTGACTGAGATCGATAGTTCTGAAACCAACATCTCCATTCTCACTAAATCTTAGGCGGGCTTTCATTTCCTTGAAGGAGGGAAGCCTTTTAAAGATTTACTAGCAACACAAATATTACGTGTCTGACTGAGGCATTTAAGACATGTCCTCACTCAATTCCTAGCTAGAGATGGTGACAGTAGGTTTGTATCCCAAGAAGCATTTCTCTTCCCCA